GAAAATCAGAAACCATAGGAGACACAGAGAAACTCTAGTAAGAACCATATAAAAGTGAATTATTAAATAGATGATATTATTTCCTTAAGCAGTGCAAATAACGTTATCAAAAAGATTATGCCCCTCCCCATAAATGGTTTTAGATGAACATTTTCCGGGTCGTTGGATGGCACATATCGCCCTATAAAATGGCCACCACGTTCACCCAATATGACGCCAACGGTTTTTTTCATATGAAGTTACCTTAAGGGTCGAGTTTATGAATCCCGATACAATATGGAAGCAAAGACGCCGTCCGAGATGCGCCCATACCTGCATACAGTAGATGGAGGTCGTATTGAACACTTATTGAAGCATTAATTATATTAAAGTATCTTTATTCTTAGTGTCCTTTTTTGTTTATGTAAATAATCTGTGTTTTAGTTTATGTTTTGTTTTGTAATTATTTATTACTGTCTTATGTGTAAATATTTTTGATTATTTTTATTAATATTTTTTCCTTTTTTTCCATTTTCTTTCTTTTTTATTTTGTGGTGTCATTAATTAATCAAAGAAATGTAGAAAATACATTTCTTTGACTACCACAAATGACACTTCTTCTTCCTTTCTTTCGTAACAAATTGTATAAAAAAATCGTTTCATTAAATTTTCCGAATTCTACTTTCCCGATTTTTTTCTTTAGATGCATTGAAAAGACCCTAACTTGAAACTGAGTTTATCAAGATTAAAAAATAAACATACGCGATTTATATTCGAAAAAATACGTTTATTTCCAATTAAAAAATAATCAATATCATCTATTTTATAAACAATAATTACTGCATCAACATTGTTTTTCGCAAACAAAAACCCAATGGTTTCTTAAATAGTTTCCGTACGACTTAAATATGGTTTCGGATTTATTAAAAAAATGTCTCATTTAATAATTTATTATTATAACATTTTATAAAAAAAACGACTTCAAAAGTTTGTGGAATCACATCTATTTGCTATTTTATTGAAATCGGTTACCGGAACGTGCGCGAAACCGGATTCATCCCCTAGCTTGCTACGCTTACAGGTGGAATATTTTTTTCAAATTTAAATGGGACCAATACCGATGTACCTTCTTTCCAAAAAAAAGAATCATCAAAATCGATTCACAAATGCCGAAGTAACCTCGTAATATACACACACAAAAAAAGAATAGAACTGAGAATCTCCTCCTTTTTTGAAGTCGGTTAAAAATATACACTGTACGTAAATGTTTATATGTATGTTTGTGTACCCCGTGTGCAGTTGATTATTATTCATCCGATTATGATAAAATATTCGTGTGATGTTGTGCCCACACTCGCAAAAGTTTTTTTAAGTATAAGATGCCACTGCTGGGCGTGGGTCTCCTCTAAGTAGAGAGGTTAAGGCCATAGTCCACCACTCTGGCCCAATACGACTTGGGAACTTCACACGTTTTCAGCGACATTGAAAAGCAAGTTGGGTACATCTAGTTATTTATACAAATATGGAAGAAGATGTAGTGAGAAAGATATAGAAAGGGACGCTTAGATGGTTTGGATATGTAGAGAGAATGAATGAAAGAAGATTGACGAAACAGATTTATAAGGCGAGTGTGAGCGGGCAAGTTGGTATGGGCCAACCAAGACGAACTTACCATGACCTAATTGAGGTCATCCTAAAGAAGGGCCAGATCAAAAGTTCCCTTAACCGACGAGCGTATATCAAAGCATTAATGCGTGACGATGAAGCGAAAGATGTGTGTCAGGACCGTAGCAAGTGGAAGCCAGTTGTCTCTGCCTACCCCGATGGGAAAAAGGCGTGAAGTATATGTATGTATGTATGTGATACATACGCACAAAGAGAAGCTATATTTTATGTGATATATGTTATTTTAGAGGCCAAGAATCTAATGTTTCTAGTAAAAATCACAACATTTTTATATGACGTGGCCTGCACGTATGTGCTATTAGACTGCATTTTACACGCTCATCATAAGGCGCTCCCACTTTAATCGAAGTGTCTAATTAGACCTTATAGTGCCACTTGAACGACTCAGGTTCCATAAAGCAAATGATAAAGCGTTGTAATAAAAATATGTCATAACTTAAAAGTGTAACGCTGGCACGTTTTATGTCTCCGGGGAAATTACTAAATGAAGAGTTTAGTTAAAAACAATTCATCATTCAGGATAAACGTTAAAAATTATATAAAATGAAATATGCTGTGAGGTATACTTAAAAGCATCTAGGACTCAGTTGTTGTTGCAAAAGTTGCAGAACTAATCGAAATTAAATAATCGTATAACTTCAGCTTCTAAATACGCTACTCGTACTTATCGATTACAATACCTGTGAAATGTGTGGTGAAATTACAGGCACATGGAACTTATGTCTCAGGGTGACGGGCGCAGTGGCAGTGCCCCTCAGATCTTTACGATTTAAAACTCTGCACTGCAACTGGACAGGCGTGTAGCTTACCATCAGGCGCATTACTTGTTGGTCCCTTCACTTGATATTATAAAAACAACCCTATTGTATGTAATAAGTATTCAACAGCTCATGACATGACAATTTCCCTTTTGTCCTCAGCAACCAGTACTGCCACCGTTCCCTCTATGGCTGGCCGCTATCTTCGCGACTTGCTTGGTTTTGGTCATCCTACTGACAGTCAGTGGCAATGTGCTGGTACTACTCGCCTTTCTTGTGGACCGTACTATTCGCCAACCTAGTAACTATTTTATCGCTTCACTAGCTGCCACGGACCTGCTGATTGGTAAGTACGCAGAAAGATTTTTTGAATGACGTTTTAAATGAACTCACTCAATACATTTTTTAAACCTGTATGCAATCTTATTGACACATTGAATATGACTTGAAAATAATTTCTATTATTAATATTTTGCATTAACACAATGCAACATAGATATGCATACAAATTTATTGATAGTTTCAAAGTAATGATGGTATAATTGAAGAAATATTATTTGCACCGATGAATGTTATCTCTTGGAACGGCATATCCTTTCTATTACCATACAGTAATAAAACCATTAACACTTCTTTTACTCAAAGTGTACATGAACTTAATGATCTTGGTCTATCGTACGAGTCATAGGTGCGCTAAATGCTTTTTTAACCGACTTCAAAAAAAGGAAGAGGTTCTCAATTCGACTGTTTTTTTTTTTTGTATATAAGTTACACGATAACTCCGGTATTTGTGAACTGATTTTCATGATTCTTTTTTGTTGGAAAGAGGGTAACTCCGTAGTGGTCTCATTTAATTTTAAAGAAAATCATCCACCTCTAAGGGTGGCTGTTCACGCATGAAGATTCATTTTTATAAATAGCGCCTAAATTTTGTTACAAGGAGCAATTATTTTAATGGTTGATTTTGCTATTCTGCAATTCAAGGCGTTTTTCTATCTCAATATACTTTCAGTAGTGAGAACCGATTTTTATTATCTCCTGTGTCAAGTCCCGTATAGTGACGAACTAGGGGATGAAACCGGGTTTGCGTACTTTCCGGTACCCGATTTCAATAAAACTTGGTAATTATATGTAATTCCACATACTTTTGAAGTCGGTTTTTTTAGTACTCTATACAGAGATTATCTGAATTCTCCTTTTAAATTATTTCTTTACTCATCTGACCGTTGTTTTTAAAGCTGTAAGTACTTCGTAAAATACCGAATGTCGACTCTTTCGTTACTAATTCAACTAAGTTAGTTCCGCATGAAGGTGCCGGCTGTAAAAGTTACGTAAAAGTGTTTAAACTAGTAGTTTGTACTATACAGATGGCACGTGCGCTACCGAGACGGTTCACGCTTTTGTCCTATTGTACTCTAAAGATGAAGCGATAAGACGAATCGGTGCAAATAATATTTCGCCAAGAATACTTACATGTTTAAAGAATATAGCACCACGGAAATCAGTAAATTGATTTACTTACTTAGGAACCGATATATATGTATAATGAAAGCGATAAAATGAAATGTTTAACGAAATTTCAATTCCAACTCAAGAATTCAAGTGTAAGGTAGGTTTTCATGACGTGATTTCCCCTTTGTCCACAGGTACTTTGTCGCTTCCATTTTATACCGACTACGTCTTGAAAGGATACTGGCACCTAGGGCCACTGTTGTGTGATCTCTGGCTTTCTGTTGACTACACTGTTTGTCTTGTATCCCAGTACACTGTCCTACTCATAACTGTAGACCGATTCTGTAGTGTCAAAATAGCTGCGAGGTATAGATCTTGGCGCACTAAAAACAGAGTCATATGGATGGTCACTGTAACGTGGATTATACCAGCCTTATTGTTTTTCACTACAATATTCGGATGGGAACACTTCGTAGGCTACAGAGACCTTCAAGAAGGTGAGTGCGCTGTCCAGTTTCTGAAAGATCCGATATTCAATACAGCGCTCATAATTGGATACTACTGGACAACCTTATGTGTATTGATCATACTTTATGCTGGAATCTTCAAGACCGCTTATGATATGCAAAAGAAAAGCGAAGCAAAGCAAAGAAAAATGCAATCAATGGTAGCTCTCAGCGCGGGTGTAATGTCAGGCATGGCTGGTAGAGCGGCGGGAATGTCTGGATTGTCTAATGTCTCAATTTCCAACGAAGATCAAATGAAAGTATCTGAAGCCATTCGTAAAGATTCAACGTCTAAAGGATCATTAGCTGCACCATTGCTAACCTTGGGTGGTTCTACCGATTCTAATTCCAGTCAGAAATCTTCAGCGCATAAAAGTAGCGCCACAGTTACTGGTACATCAACTACTGCCGAATCTGATTGCGATAAGAAAGAAGATCAGGTGGAAACCGAACGATCTAGCAGCCCTGCATTTGATTCCGATGACGAGAGCGCTACTCAAACCAATGTGAAAAAACGACCATCTGTTGCTAACTTGGTAATGCAAACTGGAGCTATGCAGCTACTAAACAACATGCGTTTAAACGGTGGAATGTTGATCAAGGCTGATTTGAAACAATCTCCTCTATTGAAGTACGACAGCGATAAGCCAAAATCTTCCCTTTCTCAAATATCCGAGAAAAGTATGTTGGATACTGATAACCATGACATTTCTCACACTGTTGAACAAATGCCTGCACCAACAGTGCCTCATTCTACTACCAGTGTCACATCTCCTACCTCATCGGGTTTCGCTACGCCTTCCGATGTCTCCACAACTATTGCTCAAAGAATTATTCCCCCACCGTCAGATTTTAGATGTAGTCCTACTGTCTCTGAAAGCCCTCCATCTCACTCGGAGTCATCGCGAACAAAAACTGTGAGGATAATAAAGACTGATGGTACTTCCTACGATGTTCTTGTTGCTATGGATGGAGCTGACTTGCGATATATGGATGAGAGCTCAGTTATAGTTCCTACACCCACGAACGAGAGTCCACCATCATCTGTTACATTTCCAACAGCAACTGAACCACCATCACCTCCTACAATGAATTCGGCAAATGTAACAAACACTTCGTTACTACAAGCTGCTCTTATACGAGCAACAGCCGAAGCAAAAGTCACCCAAATTAAAACTAGTTTTTCGCCTCCGCCTCCCGTAAAGGTAAATACTGAAGTGAGCTTAACGTCAGGGGAACGACCTAAACCTGTAATCACTCTCGTGTCGTCTTCCAATAACAATGCTCCTCAGACATCGAAGCCGAGCGATTCGCAAATTTCACCTTCTTTAAAGCCTTCTATAAGCCCGGCTGTAGAGAATAGCGAAGTGTCAAGCGCGGCAGCAAGTGGGTCAGGTCGGGCCGGATCTAAGCGAGAGTTTGTTAAAAACATAGGGAAAAAATTAAAAGTTAAACGCTCCAAGCGCGAAGGCTTATTCGCTGGTATCGGACGGCAAAAATCCAAATCGGAAAACCGAGCCAGGAAGGCGTTCAGAACCATATCGTTTATATTGGGAGCATTTGTAATTTGTTGGACTCCTTATCATATATTAGCATTAGTCGAAGGATTTTGTACGAATCCTCCGTGTATTAATCAGCATCTGTACATGTTTTCGTATTTTTTGTGCTATGCGAACAGTCCTATTAATCCTTTCTGCTACGCATTGGCAAACCAGCAATTCAAGAAGACTTTCACGAGACTCCTACGGGGAGATTTTCATATCACCTAGTCCATGTACGTCGGTTATAAAACCGCGTAAATTTTGGATACTCTAGGAAAATTAATTCAAAACGTTACGCGCACAAACACTGATCTCTACATGAACATATTATATTAAATGCTAAGACAATACTTTACTCGTTGAATGACTCTCGTAACGCTGAAATAAATTAACGCTTTCAATGTATAGTGACGATCAGATGAGTGTGTTAAAGTGTAGCGAATGACGTTATTGACTTTGCTTTGGAAAGTAATTGAAAATAACTGTAAATAATGTTAGTACATACATTGTTATATATTTTATTTATTTCGTCTTTAAAGTTCAGAACTGACAATAAAACTTAGATGATGTAAATAAAAGATGGAGTAAATCAAAGTCTCTTTATATTTTCTATTTTAAGAGTTAGTTTCAATAGTTTTAAGTGAAAAATGAATGTCAGTTTGGTGGAGCATTAGGACGTTTTAGAGACGTCAAAGACGTCAAGGGGTCTTGTATGTGTAGTTGTTTTTATGTCAAAACGTATGATTTAAGTGTTTTTAGCTATATACTTTTTGTTATGTCCCAGTGAACGTACAAATTCTATATCAATAATTAAACTACCTTTTCACAATAAGTTTATACTATGTTTCTAAATAGTCTTTGGTTTTAGACGTTGTTTAATTGATTGTTGTATGAAATATGTCACTGTTACATTACAAAATTTAAAAAAAACGCTTAAAAGCTTTAAGCTACGAGCCCAGCTAAAGTTTTTCAGCGTTAATGTCAATTACAGATAGAGTAGTTTGTGTTTGACGGGCCTAATCCGTTATCTAGAATTGTAACTTACAAGTTTCTAATTTTATTAGAGATCAAAATAATCTTCTTTGACGTAAAAATATGATTCTACTTTTAATTACTACATTCTTAATAAAACAAACAATCATTTAACTTTAGTTATATATATTATATAGCCAATAGAGATTAAATCATTTTATATTAAATTTCTCTATTTTAATACTGTAATATTAATAATTAGGCAGCAAGTTTGTAGTCGCAATATCAACCTAATAGTTACCACACTAAATACTCATTTTGTAGTTGAAATACCAATATGCTGTCATGTGACTACCACACTGAACTATTAGATACTCCTAAACCCAAAGAAGGACTTAAGCCTTCATTTCACTACTGTCCGTATCTACCGTTATATACATAGGGCCTAGGAAAGCTCCTTGAGTAACGCCAAATTGAAACTATGATTTGCTTCACGTAGAAAATTTTACAATTTTTTGTAATGCTGTATTATATAATTATGTTCATTTAAATTCGCACAGGCCATTTTAGCCACAAATCTGTGCAATTATCTCCAATAGTAAGTGACCTACTATTACCTACACTGCCCTTATTGTCATAACTAACGTATTTGCATTTAGGTAACTTCCGAAATATAGGCATCTAATGATTTTTTCTGAATAATGCCAATTACACTGATTTTGCTTAACAATAAAACGATAACAATGAATCTAAACAACATATTAAAAAACCGATTATAGCGAGTTATAGATTTCGTTTTGCTAATTCCAATATATTAATAACTTAATTTCATTAAAATATCGATTACGTTAGTTATGATAAGGATAGCAGCAAGTAATCTGGAATAGATGTATAAAAGGCCAATGATTAGTGTCATATAGTTCTTTATATTTTTTGTAATGATTTCAATTACATTTTTATAACGCTATGATGGTTTGTGTAATAGACAAATTACGCTAGTTTCAGTTTTACAGCACTACAAAAGACGTTTATAAAATAAGGTAAATATTAATCAGTATTAAAGAACATTAATAATAGGTTATCTCATCAAATGAAAGACAACAAGTGAAAAATAGTAGTTAGTTATATTCAAGACAGTATCAAAATGTTACTATAGATGTGAAATAGATAATATTATAATCATTTATGAAAAATATATATCCAATATGAAGTTTAATGATAAAAGCTTTCATGAAAAAGTATAAATTTGTGTTGATGTAAATACATAGATGTTTGGGTTAAATAAATGTCCGTTGTTCGTAATATTGTCTCTAATGGTGCAAGTTGTAACCTTTAATCTTTAGTACAGTTCGGAGAATCGTTTTAACTAAATAGTAGAACAGGGTGTGTTTTGAAAATGTGACTTTATAACAACTTTGATAAAGTTACCAACTTATCAGATGTTAATAGTATGGATTGCGAAGTAACAAAGAAGGAATATATTCATATTATCATGTCGCTGGTACATAATAACGCCACAAGTTATCAAAAGTGATCATAAAATTGCATTTAGTAGCAGTAGAGCTCCTTGTGAAAGAGTTCGTCCAGGGTAGTACTGCCTTATATATTTCTGCCGCCAAGCAATAATGTGAGCGTTACTGCGTTAAGGTTTTGAAGGATAAGGGTGCTGGTGATATTACAGGCTCACAGGACTTGTCTACTTTTGTCTCACGGTGACGAGCGCAGTGGGAGTGCTCTAAGATTTTTGCGATTTAAAGCTATGGTGATTATACGAACTACATGAAAGAAATTATGAAATTTTATAACTCACCATGTCGCCCTAAACATTTGTAAGTGATGTAAAACAACGTACTATTACGTCGTTTAATTTGTGTCATTTTATCGAAGAGCGTAAGAGAGCGCTTTTAGTACATACAAAATCTTAATAGTTACTTTTTTGTTCTACAACATATCAAAATATGGAACCTACTGCCTACCTCTACTTACTACCTTACCTCAGGCTGGCTGCTCTATGGCGCCAGTTCGCATACGCCAAAAAGAGGTACTTAGAACTCTTTGAAATCTAGACGTGAATAAAGCTAGCGGGCCAGATGGAATTCCAGCAATAGTCCTGCGTAACCGTGCGCCTGAGTTGTCTCCTGTTCTCACACGCCTGTACCGCCTCTCACTTGAGACTGGTGTAGTTCCCAGGTCGAGGAAGCGTGCAAACGTGCAACCTGTGCCGAAAAAGGAAAGCAGACCCTGTCAACTATAGACCTATCTCAGTCACTTCCATACTCTGCAAGACTATGGAACGCGTACTCAACAACCGTCTCCTGTCGTACCTTGAAGATAACGACCTCCTCAGTGATTGCCAGTACGGATTCCGACGAGAGCGATCTACTTCTCGCTCCATAGTGACAGGCATACACAAGAAGATCCCCTTCTTATCTTCTTGTGTATGCCTGTCACATATGGAGCGAGGCTATAGAAAAGTAAGGCGAAGCAATTGCAACGTCTTTGGGCATTTCTAAAGCCTTTGACAGGGTCTGGCGCGCAAGCCTTTTAAGTAAGCTTCCCTCTTATGGGCTTCCCACTAACCTTTGCAATTGGATCTCGGATTTCTTGAGTGAACGTTCGATTCGAGTGGTCTTAGAAAGCTACTCTTCCGAACATATGGCGATAGATTCCTCAGGGTTCCGTACTGTCTGCAATTCTCTTTCTGCTGCACATCAATGATATGTTAATTCCAGGTACCTTTGTGTATGCTGATTGTATGCACAGTTGGAGATAGGTACTTGACCAATGCAAGGGTCGGTGGAGAGGAAAGCCAGTCTTGTCGAGAGTCCATGGTTAGCCATTTGGATTTGACACTCCAGGCAGTCTCCGATTGGGGTGATGCCAATCTTGTCAAATTTAACGCTACCAAAACTCAGTGTCTATTCTCCACAAAACGGAGTCCCTTCGAGCTGACTCCGACTTTTCGTGATATATCCATACCGATAGCCGACTGCCTCCAGCTACTTGGAATGGACCTGTCGTCCAATTTGAACTTCGGCATGTATCCATGGCCAAAAATGCAGCTAGGAAGCTTGGCATCCTTTCTAGGGTGAGGCGTTACTTTGCACCGGGACAGTTGCTTCAGCTGTACTAAGCACAAGTCCGGTAGTGCATGGAGTACTGCTGCCACCTTTTGAATGGCTCTGCTACATATCAACTGGCCACTTTGGATTCAGTTGACAATCGTGCCAAGAGGCTTATTGGCGACTCGAAATTAGTGGACGCGAAGCTGCAAAGCCTTGAACACCGCCGTAAAGTTGCCTGCTTATCGGTATTTTACAGGATATATCACGAAGAGTGTGCGATGGAATTACACGATTTAATTCCGCCTTCCCCTGTCCATCACCGGGGGACTAGGCGTAGGCTTGGGTTCCACCCCTATGTTGTGGATATTCCAAACACTCACACGAAGCATTACGCTTCCATGTTTATGTGTCGAAGGGCCATGAAGTGGAATTCCCTGCCTGCAGACTTGTTTTCTGAATGTTATAACTTGGGCCTTTTCAAGGCGAGAGTGAATAGGCATTATTTAGGTGTGCATGCTCCATCGTGGACTTCATCGTCACTTTCCATCAGGTGAGATAGAGGTCAAATGGGCACTTATATTTTATTAAAAAAAAAAACTAGCGATACGCATTATCGAAATATCACAAGATAAGTAAGCACTACTCACACATACCAATGATCGCTGGCATACACGCACAACGTTGGGGGGCAGTTTATAGACGTCGTCGTTTATTGGCGTTAGTATCATTATTTGTTACATTCATTTAGTAGCCTGTACAAGAATTATTTGTAAACGTTTGCATTAATGTATGAGAAAAATATCTGCCAAAGCGCATCAGTCGGCAAAAGCACGAATGTATTAAGCAGTAGAAGAATGTGTTAAGTTATCGAATATTTCGTTCGTAGAATGTTTAACTCTTTCTAGAAAAGTCGATATTTTACAAATGTGATCTTATTACACCGCGGGTGCGATATAATCTTATTTTGTAGCGGTTTGATACAGCAACATTTAGTCATCATACTGGTAAGAGAAGGGCTTAAACTTGCACAATTAAAATATTTGAAATGCCTATGTATCGTTTATAAATACATATGTTGGATGTCGTACGGCGATGTAAGTCAATAAAAATAATAATTTTATACCTGTTTTTATTATTCCCCGCTTCATAAGACAATGCTGCTTAGTTAATTGCCAAGAAAGGGTCCTCAAAAAGAAACAAACCAATGTATGACGAACTTGTTTTAAAGACTAACTATTACTAAAACATACACATTATTAATATGGGTTTAAACAACAAAACGCTTGCGTGTTTTATTTCAATGACCACGCCATCTATTATCATTTCGGAGTAAACAAGACA